ACCACCATGCAGGCCTCCCCTGAGCTTGTCAGTGTTAGGTCGGAGAGAGCCCAGGATCGGATACATGCAGACATGACAAGATAATGGACTTCCCCTGGAATTTCTCACAGATCAAGGTGCCAGACACAGATACCAGCTTCTTCTCCCTGAATTCACATACCCCCACACAGATAAGAACTTCGTCCTGAATATTCCGCCCATTCCCTGCAGCAGAGAATTCCTCAGCTCATGTCCCCGCCCCTCACCCAACCGCAGTATAAAAAAAGCGCCCCCCTCCCTGTTGGCGTGAATCCACGTGTCCTGTCCTTGGGGTACGTGGGTCTCCCGGGGACGCAGAATAAACCTTTTCCTTTCCTTTCTTTTCTGATTCACTGGACTCTATTTCTTGCGCCGCCTCCTGAGCCACCTAACCTAACAGTCAGGTCAGGATGTGGACCTTTTCATCCACAACAGTTGCCTCAAATAAACTCACAAACATTCTATACAGGTTTGAATGTTTTTACATTAACAGTGTTATCACTGGAAAACCCTTTTTGTTGCCCTGGGACTCCCTAAACTTAAAATAATAACACAAGGAACATAACACCATGGTGGCTATCTGGATAAACCTCAGGGCCACTCAGGTTAAAGACACATTAGCACCCTAGAGACCTTCTCCTGCCCTGATCTCTGCTGAGCTACTGGTTAGCTGTGCCTCAGGCTCCCCCCGTAAATGGGGAGCAGAAACAAACCTGCCTCATAGGGGTTCGCAGAGTCAACGGGTTGAAATAGGCACAGCACCTACAGACAGGCCCGGCCTGGATTAAGTGCTTTATAAGTAATAACAGATTTTAAAAATTGCTAGATGGCCCCAGAGACAAGCCAGTCATGGGACTTATTCAAAAAGGAAACAGCTCTTCTATCTGTGATTCTCTGTGGGTTAACGTGGTGCCCACACTCCCCTGAAATGTAAGTTTCTCACCAGGGGAAACCTCGCCCAGAAAGGCTGTCTCCAGCGTGGTGGTGCCTGGGTGTCTGACATGTCTTTTCTTGGTGCCCGCCTGGCATCCCTGACACCTTCACGCTCCTGCAGCTCCTACTGGACTCTGAACTCTCTGTGCCTCAGTTTCCTCCTCTGAAAAATGGGTGGGGAGGAGAAGGGGAATGTTTGCTCAGGAGCTGGCTTTGGAGACTAGGACATGCCATAGCCGTGCACAGGGGAGTCCCCAAAGCGAGGGGTTTCTGACGAAGCTGAATAGACCTCCAGGCAAGACTCCCCCACCCTGGTGCTCACGGCCCCCATTTGCCCTGGGTTGAGTGCCAAGAGCCCCAGGGCTCAGCGTGTTTGTCAGAAATTCAAACAGTGGAGCTGCTGACAAAGGATCTGAGAGCAGGTTACACTTCTGTGGTCAGGGAGTGGCGGGCAGCAGTGCATTTGCACACACACACACACACACACACACACACACCCCGTCTGTGTTTTTACTCACTTCCTGTAGGCTTCCAGCTGCTCCACCAGTTCCGGGGAGGGACCTGGGGCACCCCCACTCACACACTGTATAAGGGCCAGGAGGACACAAAAGGATGCACAACTGCCCAGCCTGTGAATACAGAACCACCCTGCCCAGACCATGGGAGCTCCCCGCCTGCATGCCTTTCACATCCTCCATGGTGAGAATTTGGGGACCCTATAAGAGGGATAAGGGAACTCCTGGCAGCACCCCTTTGGTGCCTTCACTTCCTTGTCTGCCCACTCCCACCAAGGAGAAATAGGAGGCACCGCTGGCAACTCAGGGGCCTGACATGGAGGAAGCCACATGGTTAGGCGGGAGCCACGGCACATGGGAGAGCACCTGGCAGTGCCCAGGGAACCTTCATGCCTGGGCAGGAACCCCCAGGGTGCTCTAAGGGTCTGTTCCCCACCCCAGAGGGATCTCCACGCTCCTTCCAGATCCACTTTGGAAGCTGCTCCCTAAGAGGGGAAACTGAAGCAGGTGGAAGAGAGGGGGCGAATGAGTGCTGTGACCCCCTCAGGAAGTCACTCATAACAGATGGCAGAGAGGGGGCTAGGGAGCTAAGGCGGGACCCTTCCACAATGGGGTGACCCCCACACTTCTCCCATTGTGTGGCAGGGGAAGCCCGGAGACCCAGCTGGGCCTCAGCTGTGCCTAGAAGGGCTTTGCTACTGTGGGTTGAACCTGAGCTCTGCTGTGCCTTCCCCTTTGCCTCCCTTCCCACTCCACCCAGAGTGGCTCTAATGGTTATCAAGGCAGCTTGTTGCCTGGGCAACCAGGTAACAAAGAGAGTTAAGAAATGACCTCTGGGGTGCCAATCAAAACTCCTCAGGCCACCAGGATGGGGCTCCCTGTGCTGGCCCAGGGTGCCAGGCGTGAGCTGTTTTTTGTGTGTTTTTTATCAAGGTGAGGTGTAATTGACATAGCATGTAATTTGCCTGTTGCATGGTTATAATTAGATGATTTTTAGTAAATTTGCTGAGTCCCTTTGGAGCACAGCTGAAGGCGGCAAAGTGTCAGAAGGGCAAGTCACAGAGCCCCTGATCCTCACTTTCCACGTCTGAGAAATGGGGCAGAGCAAGACTGGTCTAGAATTTACAGGCTTGTGTTAAGGGTTGAGTCCTTGCTCACAGTAAGAATTAAGTAAACATTATTGTTGTTGTTGTTACTATTATTATTATTATTATTATTATTATTTCACTGGTAGGTCTGGGGGAAGGACTGCAGGCCTGGGGGCAGGGGGGGAATCCTTGGCAGGAGGAGCAAGGAGAGAATGACTGCCCCACCCCTGCCACAGGGGGCCCAGGCAGGAATCTGGCTGCCCAGGGCTCAGCTAGGGGAATGCAAACCAGATGGGACTGGGAGCAGTGACCAGCCACCCCTCTCCAGGCTCCTGTTTGGGTGATGTGCTGGGCCCCAGGTGGAGGTCTGGCCAGGCAGCCTCTGTGGTGGGGCAGGAAAGCCCAGCTCAGCACAGAGAACCCCTCCCTGCAGGGTCTGGGGAACTTGACCCCTCACTTCCATCTTCCCCAGCCCCCTTTTCACCAGTTTCTCCATAAGCCTTTTCTGGACTCTGAGCCTCAGTTTGTCCATCTGCAGAGTGGACATAAACAGACCCTCTGTCTCCTTCAGCAGCTGTGAGCATGGAAGGTGCTACAAATCGGCCCAGGGCCCACCCTGCCAGAGAAGGCCATTTTGTGGTCTCAAAGAGGAAGAGGAAGTAGTTTTCCACCAAAGGGAGAACTAACCAAACCCTGTGGCCAGAGAGGAGGACGACAGGAGTTCTAGCCTGTTCACTGCATCTGCGAGGGCCTCGGGGAGGGTATGGGGGCTTTGCCCTCTGCTGGCCTGAGGGGTATCAAGTTTGGACATTGGGACTAAGTGCTCAGGGAACCCTCCAGTCTGCACCCTCCACAGCTCCTCAAGTTGTGCTCACAAGGATCCATCCCAAAATTCCCCTGGGAGCCCCTCCATGGGCTACTGGAAGCCCTTCCATAGGGGAATTGGAGCCATGAGTTATCCCTTCATTTGGCCCAGGAAGTGACTCACTCCTGCCTGCATCCCTGGCCCACATCCCTCCAACCGCTCCCACCCATTTGGTCTCCCTGGATTATGTGGGTCTGGGCTGCCTTCCCAGCGTCTCTAGAGCTATAAGGACTGGATGGATCCCTCAAGCCCTCCGCATACCTCACCTGCTACCAAGGCGACTGCCCTCCCTCCCTCTCTTCCCCTTCTGTTTCTCTATCTGGCTCTCAATCTCTCTATCTCTCCATGTCTCTCTGTCTAATCTCTGGCATCTGTGTCTCTTCCTTTCCAGGAGTTCCGTATTTCTCTGCCCATCTCTCTAGATCACTGTCTTCTTAACTCTGCCTCTCTGTTTCTCTCTCCATTTCTCTGTGTCTTCTCTCTCTCTCTCTCTCTCTCTCTCTCTCTCTCTCTCTCTCTCTCTTTTCTTCTCCTCCACCTCCTCTTTATTTTCTCTCCAACTCTGTCTCTTTGACTTTTTGATGTATGGGTCCTCATCTCTAGACACCCTGCTGACTTAAGGAGAACCCCCAGGACATGTCCTGGGATGGGGTACCCCTGAAGAGCAGGATTGGGGGATCTATGCAGCACCACCCATAACATGAGCCCCCAGCATCTTCCTGTGTGCAGGGAGCCAGGGCGTGAAATGTCACCACTGGGTCCCAAGCTGGTCATTGTGGTGGACAGATGTGGGTGCAGTGGGCTTGCACCTGTGTCCCTGAGGAAGGGTGTGGGCTGGAGCACCTTCGATTTGGGAGTTCTGAGAGGACACCTGGCCCAACCCCTTCATTTTCACATAAAGAAATGATGACAGTAAGCACTCTGACACACCAGGCAGTACTTGTCTGCTTAACTCTCACACTCTAGGAAATGGGTCTCCTCTTCATCCCCTTTCTACAGAAGGGGAAACTGAGGAACTGAGGCACCTTACCAAGGTCTGGGATTAGAACCAAGGCCAATTGGCTCCAGTATGTTTCCTGAACTGCTGCCCACAGGTCAACAGAAGCCAAGACCCCTGCCAGGCTCAGGCCCCTCCCCATCCTTCAGTTCCTGAAAGCCACCATCAGGCGATGGGTGCAGACCCTCTGGCCATGGGCATTGGAGGCCAGGGAGGTGCCACCTGCCCACTCTCTCCTTGAGTAATGGACAGAGCCCGAGCCTGGGAGGGGTGAGCAGCCCCTTCCATCAGATGTGTCACCCTCAGGCCTCCCTTCCATGTTCTGTGTCCCCCCCTGACCCTCCATCACTCTGTTCCAGCGCTGTGTGTCCTGCTGATTCTGTTGGAAGATGGACCCCAGAACACCAGGGGTGAGTCTGCTGGGAGTAACTCAGTCCACAGCCAGAGTCCCAACCCCACCCGCACCTCTCAGCCCACGCAGAGAAAGGCCTGTTGCAGGAAGAAGCTCAGGGTTGTCCCTCCCAACACCCCTCCCCAGCCTCTGGCTCAGCCCTCATCTTCTGACCATGGTCTCCGTCCCACAGCCTCTGCCTGTCGCCGGCCGTGCCCTGCAAACTCCTCATGTGTCAATGGCACTGCCTGTCGCTGTAACCCAGGATTCAAATCTTCATCTGGGGAGACTGACATCAGCTACAAGGATCGTTGTGAAGGTACAGAGGCTTGGGGTGGTGGAGGGCTACATGGAGACGGGATGGTGGTTGGTGGCCTCAGCCTTTGTTTTCAGACCAGCATGAAGGACAGAGAAAAGAGAAAGAAAAAGAAATGAAGGTGGAAAATGAGAAGTGAATAAACATGGCTTCGTACAGAGGGAGGAGCTGGGGCGGGGGATGCAGAGCTTCCACCCACCCACCACTTCAGCACTTCCTCCTGTATCTAAATCCAGGAGACAGACAGAAAGCTGAGCAGAGCAGAGCTGATTTGGTGGGTTTCAGGAATGGCTTGCTCCAGCCACAGCAATGTTGCCTGAGTCTAATTATTTCCCAAAAGACACTGGTTGAGCATCAGGCTCCATGCTAGGTATGGGACCAGGCTCTCTGCCCTGAGGGCACTCATGGCTTTGGGAGGTGACCCTTTATCCCGTTTTGTTGCAGACATTGATGAATGTGAACAAGACAAGCCAGGGACTCTCTGTGGAAGAGTCGCAGACTGCCATAACACGGTGGGGAGCTACTACTGCACATGCATCCCAGGATTCAGGCTTGTTTCTGGGGCAGCAAAGTTCAGTAATGAGAGTGAGAACACGTGTCAAGGTAAGAATGACCCGCATCTTCCATCTCCCTGTCCATGGGTTTTGGAGTCACCAGAGCCATTCCTGCAGCATACAGGGTGCCAGGCCCTGGTGATGGGTGCAGCCTCCAGGTCTGAGTGGGGACAAGTTTGCCTGTGCCTGTCCCACTAGCACAGGGAGGAGGGTGGCATGAGAGCCAAAGACCCAAGTCCTGGTTTTGCTACCTGACAGCTGTGTATGCAGCACCAGCCAGGACACTTATTCAGAAATCACTGGTAATGTGTGAGATGTGATAATATCATTGTGGCTTTGTGTTTAAAAAAACAATAACACCTATTTTTTACAAATGAAAACAAAAGTAACTTTGCCTTTGTTAGCTATATGACCTTGGACACATTCTTCACTGCTCTGTGCTCCAGTTTACCCATTAGTAAAAGGGAGTGACAATGCTGGGAAAGTACATGTGATCATAGAGCACAACACAATGGAGGCTGTTGGGCTTTTAGACTAGACTCATTCTTTCTCTTTATTTTTTATCTTTATTGTTGAAAGTATTACCTAAGTCCCCTTTTTCCACCATTGACCTATACCAGCCCACCCCGCCTCACCCCCCAGTCCCTCACCACCTCATGGTCTGTGTCCATGGGTTATGCATAAGTTCACTGGTTGATATCTTCCCACCCACCCTTACCTGCCTTCCTTCTGAGGTTCAACAGTCTGTTCCATGCTTCTACGTCTCTAGGTCTATTTTTGTTCATTTTTGCGTGAGACGTTGGTGACTATAGTTTCTTCTAGAACAGCGGTTCTCAACCTGTGGGTCGCCAACCTGTGGGTTGCGACCCCTTTGGGGGTCGAACGACCCTTTCACAGGGGTCGCCTAAGACCATTGGAAAACACATATATAACAGTGGCTCTCAACCTTCCTAGTGCCACGACCCTTTAATACAGTTCCTTAAGTTGTGGTAACCCCCAACCATAAAATTATTTTCGTTGCTACTTCATAACTGTAATTTTGCTACTGTTATGAAGCATAATGTAAATATCTGATATGGCCCTAACCGATTTGGCTCAGTGGATAGAGCATCGGCCTGCGGACTCAGGGGTCCCGGGTTCGATTCCGGTCAAGGGCATGTACGTTGGTTGTGGGTACATTCCCAGTGGGGAGTGTGCAGGAGGCAACTGATCAGTGATTCTCTCTCATCGATGTTTCTGACTCTCTATCCCTCTCCCTTCCTCTCTGTAAAAAATCAATAAAATATATAAAATAATTAAATAAATAAATAAATATCTGATATGCAGGATGTATTTTCATTGTTACAAATTGAACATAATTAAAGCATAGTGATTAAGCACAAAAAAAATATGTAATTATATATGTGTTTTCCGATGGTCTCAGGCAACCCCTGTGAAAGGGTCGTTCGACCCCCAAAGGGGTCGAGACCCACAGGTTGACAACCCACAGGTTGAGAACCGCTGTTCTAGGACTTTTATGGTTTCACGTCTTGCATTTAAGTCTTTTATCCATTTTGAGTTTATTCTTGTGTATGGTATAAGTTGGTAGTCTAGCTTCATTTTTTTGCATGTACCTGTCCAGTTTTCCCAACACCATTTATTGAAGAGACCATCTGTGCTCCATTGTATGCTGTTGTAACACAGTGCTCCCTCCTCTCTCAGCTCCTCTCGTTTCACAACCTCCCCCTTCCTACCTGTCACCAGGTGTTTACTGTTCTTCCTTGTTATAAGTCACATCCTCAGCTGGACCTCAGTTGGTAATTCCTGGTGAATGCTCTCTAATTTAGTTGTATTTCCAGTCTGGCCCTGGGATGAGGTGCCCAACAGGTCTGCCTCCCCTCTAGATCTCACACACCCTCTCTGGGTTGGACATCCCAGGAGACCATACGCCAGGGGTGGGTGCTCAGAGAACAGCTGGCCTGGCCTATCCCCTCACCAGAGACCCAGGAGGAGCCAGGCCTGCACACATCACCAGGCTTTTCTCACTTTCCAGGGGAGCAGGGAAGGGGCTTCAGGCATTCGAGGGGCAGATGGAGCCAGCAGTGGTCAGGCAGAAGCTTCGACTCACTCAGAAAGAGGGGTTAGTGCAGAATACAGAGAGAGGAGGAGGAGGCTGAACCAGGGATCCTGGAGGCTCTGAGCAGGGTCCACAGTCCCACCCTGCTGAGGACAGAAGAGCCTGAAACCAGCTATTATCAGGGCATTGCCTCAGGCTCAATTATCTTCCAAGGAGATCAACCCAGATTCCAAGGGGGCCCATACCACTGGGGGACAGAAGACAGAGGCTGAGCCCCTCTTGGCCAGGCCCACAAGTCTGTGTCCCTGGTGGGAGAACAAGGAGCCAGATGAGAGAAACACCTGCCACTCTTCACCCATCAGCCGCTGCTCCCCGCTCCAAACACCCAGCCCTTGCCCACCGCTGGTCAAGCTCACATGTGGATTCTCATCACTCCCTGCCAGTCCAAGGGATGCCTTCAGGGGGATCAGAAGGGCCACCTTCACACCCCAAGACAGCATGACTGGATGTCAGCCCCACTGCTCTCATGGCCTGGCACCCACTGTCCAGGTGACCCTGGCCTATCTGGTATCATTTTCACATTCTGGGCCCCGGCCTAAAAGCCTTGTCCGGGAGGGGTCAGGCTCAGGGTTGGTTCTCGGTCCATGTCCATGGGCTGGAGTCTCAGAAGTCGTGTGGATGGGAGAGTGCTGTCTCACCAGAGTCACCAGGATTCCAAGGAGAGCTCAGCCCACAGCACCACCCAGGCGAGTCAGGACCAAGGCCACCAAAACGAGCCTGCTGAGGGCCTGCAGCACTTCTCCCGCACTTGGTTCCAGGAAAGCCCACCCTGGCCTTTGCCCAAGTCCTCAGGCTGGGACACAGGTGGCAGTGATGTCTCTGTCCTAGCTGGGAGCTGCCCAGAGATGGGTTGGGATAGGGTGGGTGGTGGAGGGAGTAAGAGGGAGAACTTGAACCGCATCTGTCCACATCTGGACAACAGAGCACCTAGGCCAGCATGCTCACCCACAGGACACCTCCATGTGAATTAGAAAAGGCATCACTCACCTGGGAGGAGGCAGTGGGGCCTTCTAGACACTTCTATGCCAGGAAACGTGGCTGACTCCCAGCCTTGAAGACTGCCCACGGCTGCAGACATCCATCACCCTCTCCTTCCCCTTGCAGACATGGACGAATGTCTGGACCCCAGAATCTGTAAAAGCCGCAAGTGTGTCAACACCCATGGCAGCTACACCTGCAGGTGCCCGCCAGGATTTGAGTTTGACCCAGAAAACCAGAAGCTGTGCAAAGGTAGAGGCCCCGGGAGGACGCTGTGAGGATGGACTGGATGGAGCTGGGGAAGGAGCTGACGAAGGTCCCACGGTCCCAGGAGGCAGGAGAAGATTCTCAGGTTCCTTGCCAAGGCCCTGCCTAAGGATTCGCTTCTGCGAAAAGTCCTGCCACAGAGCAGGGCGGTGGCAGGACCTTCTGGGCCTGGGGTTTCCTTGTGGAGCCCCTGTGAGCACCCCCAGACACTTCCCTTTCCTAATCTTTCCTTGGGATGGTGAAAATGCCTCTTCTGACCCCCTGAAGGCACCCTCTATACTGGAGGATGTGATAACAAGTCCCATGTGAGTTAGGCCAGAACTGTGACTTCTGGTTCCCAGAAGGAGACCTGGTCCAGCAGTCAGGAAGACGTAGGCAGGAGTCCTTGTTCAGGAACTTCAACCCTCATGACTCAGTTTCCCTCCTGGATTTGCAACCTATAAACTGGAGACTCTGGTCCCTGCCATGTCCATCTTGTAGGGAGGCCACCATAACATGCTTTGAGGGTGAAGCTGAAGGTCACGAGGTGGTGCCATGTGTACTGAGGGTGGGATCCTCAGGCAACGAGAAGTGGGTGCGGGGAGGGCCTGACACTCTGGCTTTGTCCCCAGATGTGAATGAATGTACCTCGGGACAAAAACCCTGCCACAAAACCACCCACTGCCTCAACACTGTGGGCAGCTATAAGTGCCACTGCCGCCCTGGCTGGAAGCCGATTCCTGGTTCCCCCAATGGCCCGAACAACACCGTCTGTGAAGGTTTGGAGTTCAGATCTCATAAATGACCCACTTCTTCTTTACTTTGCTGAGCCATCTGAAAGGCAGCTGCCATAAGGCGCTTTGGCAGAGAAGGGGCAGCACTTTCAGAAGCGGTGTGTGCCCAGTGCAGGCAGTGAGGAGAGGGGGACCTGGGCCAGGCAGGGCTGAGCTTCAGATTCTGTTCTTTTTTAAAAAATATATTTTTATTGATTTCAGAGAGGAAGGGAGAGGGAGAGAGAGAAGCATCAATGATGAGAGAGAATCATGGATTGGCTGCCTCCTGCACACCCCCTACTGGGGATCGAGCCCGCAACCTGGACATGTGCCCTTGACCGGAATCGAACCTGGGACCCTTCAGTCCGCAGAATGACGTTCTATCCACTGAACCAAACCGGCTAGGGCTCGGATTCTGTTCTAATAAGGGCAAGATTGCAGCTCTGGGCGCATCGGTGCTACAGCCCACAGCCTCAGCGCATGGTAGCTATCAGTTCGGCAGCTTCCCTGGTTAGAAGTCCCCCAGTCCATCCTGCCCTACGGGTGGGGGCACAGCTTTGGGATGACACTTGCACACGCACAGTCCTGCCCTGTCTGCCTTGCAGGGCCGCTCTGAGCTTATGGTGCTTTTACAGTGGAAAACGTCACCACAAGTTTGTATCCTGTCAGTCTAGGTGGCTGATAAGCGGGACATAGTGGGGTGTCCTCAGGGTGAACTGCTAAGGGATTTGAGAGAAGGGGCAGGAAGGATGCGAGCAAGGAGTAGAGAGAGGGCCTGACGCTCTGGCTTTGTCCTCAGAGGTGGATGAATGTACCTCGGGAGAACATTCCTGCCACAATTCCACCCGATGCCACAACACCAAGGGCAGCTATGAGTGCCGCTGCCGCCCTGGCTGGAAGCCGGTTCCTGGGTCCCCCAATGGCCCAAACAACACCGTCTGTGAAGAAGGTTCGGAGTTCAGATCCCACATTCCCAAAGACCCACAGCTCAAGCCACCTGATCACATATTCACGGGCACCCACACGAAACCAGCAGAATGAATGTTGGGGGTGGCCTGCTGAGCCAGCCTTCCATTCTTTGAGACTAAATGGGAAAAGATCTGGGGGTCCTGCAGAAGGAGCTGGGGTACCAAGAGAAAGGCTCCTGGGGACCCCAGGCAGCAGCTAATTACTAACTGGGACAAGGATACCTAATAGCTCACAACCTGTACCTCTGTGGGGGCTGACCTGCTGTGGGTCAGGCCTCTGCACACTTCCCATAACCCCTGCCTCCGCCACTCAGGGATGTGCAGTCAGCAGGTGTCATCACCTCCAGCCAAGGCATGGGGGGAGGGGGACTGGACACGGGAAGGGGGTGGGGCACGGAGAGGGGAGGGGACCATATTCCTGAATAAACAAAGGACTGCTCAGTGTGAAAGTAGAGCTTGACCCTAGATCCTGCCTCCAACACACACACACACACACACACACACACACACACACACACACACACCCCTAATGGACAGCTGTTCTGTCCCCTGCAGAGATCTTCTTCCCCACCTGGATCCCGCCCCTTGGAATCAAGAGCCAGGTGAGTGACTCCAGCCAGGACCAGAAGGCAAGGTCCCTCCACTCAGCTCACCATCCACCCATTTCCCACACGCTCCCCCAACCATGTATGAGACCCGCTAAGGCCTCTTCTCCTCTTTCCCCAGAGTCTCTCTCACTTCTTTGAAAGAGTCCAGGACCTGCGCAGAGACTTCATGTCTGCCTCGGCCCAGGACACCATACAGGTAAGGACAGGATCCAGGGGAGGCAGGTGGAGGCATCCCATAGAGTCTCAAGGAAGCTTTGATCTGGAAGGAGACTGACCCCAACACAATGGCGCCCTGCTGTGAGGCCCCGCTATCCCAGGGTGGGTGGGAAGAGCAGACCAAGTATTTGTACTCACTGTTAGAACCACATACACCTACTAACACCTTTCCTCTTGTTCTGGCCACTGAGTTTGCATTGTCCTTGGTAGTCATGACCAGGGTTTGAACTCTGAGTGGGGATTTCACTAGCAAAGACCCAGGGAATAGCATTGGGTACCACCTTTGTCCCCAGATAGACAGGCTCTAGGATCTGTTCTCAGAAGCTGAGTGGGCAGGGTCTTCCTGAAGCTTCTCTGGTGCAATATCCACTGGTTCTGTGTCCCCATCCCCCCAGGACATCATACAGGAGGTGGATAATCTCCTGGAGAACCCTGGGGACCTGCTTACTCTGCCCCATTCAGAGCAGCACTGTGTGGCCACTAACCTGCTCACTGGCCGGGAGCACGTCCTGAGAGAGCTGAGCAAGGCCTTGCCCAATGGGCCACTGACCTTCAGGACAGCTGCAGGAACAGGCAAGTAACCCCGCCTGCCCCCAGGCTGTGCTCTGCCTGCTCCTCACCTCATTCCTCTTTTCATCGCACTAGAGCTGAGTGATCACACTTGTACCTCCCTGTTACTCTCATACACATATTAAGATAAAAGTTGAAAAGAAAATGAAAAAAATTATCAATACTAAACAGTTTCATTGTAATATTATCAGGAGATAAAATCCTATATAATAAAAGGCTAATATGCAAATAGACCAAATGGCAGAACAGCTATGACCTGCACTGACCACCAGAGGGCAGATGCTCAATGCAGGAGCTGCCCCCTGGGGGTCAGTGCGCTCCCACAGGGGGAGCACCACTCAAGCAGAAGCCAGGCTGGTGAGCACTCCCACTGCCAGCTTAGCCATCATTCAGATATCCCTCCGAGGGCTCCTGGACTGCGAGAGGGGACATGCCAGGGCTGAGGGAGCCCCCCCTCACTCCCCAGAGCATGAATTTTCATGCATTGGGCCTCTAGTAATTATGCTTTATAATTTAAGATAAAACAGAAATGGCTTCAAAAGAAAACAAATTATTAAATTTGGAGGAATACAATTTAATATTATCTGATATTTAAGTAATTTGTTTTATTGAGGAAATTTCACATAACATAAAATCCACTATTTTAATCAAAGTGTACAATTCAGTGACACTTCATACATTCACAGAGTTGTACAATTATCACCTCTATTTCTTTATTTTTTTAATATGTTTTTGTTGCTTTCAGATAAAGGAAGAGGGAGAGAGAGATAGAAACATCAATGATGAGATAAACCAAAGATATACATATATGCATAGCCCATGGACACGGGCAATAGGGTAGTGAAAATTGGAGGATGGGGGTATGTCCTGGGATGAGGAGGGTAAAGGAAGGGGAAATGGGAGATATCTGAAATATTATCAATAATAAATATATATATATATATATATATATATATATATATATATATATTTTTTTTTTTTTTAAAGTAGCTGCCTCCTGCATGTACCTTACTGGAGATTGAGCCAGAAAGCTTGGCATGTGCCCTGATCCAGAATCTAACTGTGACCTCCTGGTTTATGGGTTGATGTTCAACCACTGAGCCATACCGGCCAGGCCATCACCTCTATTTCTAAAGTATTTTCATCATCCCAGAAGTGAACACTGTACCCACTAAGCAGTTACTTCTCATTTCTCCCTCCCCCAGAAAGCATTTATCTGTTTTCTGTCTCTTTGAATTAGCCGATTCTGTACATTTTATGTAAATAGAATCACACAGTGCATGACCTTATAGCCTGGCTTCTTTCACCTAGCATAGTTTTCAAAGTCATCCACATGTTAGTATATATCTTATAGTTGAATACTATTCCATTGCATATATACACCACTTTTGTTTATCCATTCTTCCATTTATGGACATTGGATTGTTGCCACCCTTTGACTGTTGTGAATAGAGTTACTATGATATTGGTGTGCAAGTTTCTTTTTGAATAACAATTTTAGTTCTTTAAGTCTATATGTAGGAGTGGAATTGCTGAGTGATATGCTAATTATATGACCAACATTTAGAAATCACCAAACTATTTTTCCAAAATGACTGCACCATTGTACATATACATACTCCCTACCCCAAGCAATGTGCAAGGGTGCCAACCTTCACATCCTCAGCAAAATGTGTTACTTCCATTTTGTTTTGGTTTTATTAAAGCCTTTCTAGTGTGTCAGGTGACATCTCGTTAAGGTTTTGATTTGAATTTTCCTAATGACTAGTGATATTTAATATCTTTTCATGTGATTATTGAACATTTGTGTATCTTTTTTTGAGAAATGTCTGTTCAAGTCCTATGCCTATTTTTTAATTGGGTTGTTTGGCTTTTTGTTGTTTCTTTATAAGTGTTCTTTATATATTTGCTAGAGGACCCTTATGAGATATGTGATTTGCTAATATGTTTTCCCATCCTATAGATTCTTTTCCCTTTCTTCATAGTCTTTTTACGTTATTAAATAGGTGCATTAAATTTTGATAAAGCCCATTTTGTTTATTTTTTCTTTTCTTTTTTTAAAATTTCTTTATTGATTAAGATATTACATATGTGTCCTTATCCCATCATAACCCCCCCGACCTCCCCAACTCATGCCCTCACCCCCCTGTTTTATGTGTCCATTAGTTAGGCCTATATGCATGCATACAAGTCCTTTGGTTGATCTTTCCCCCTTATCTCCACTCTCCCCTACCTTCCCTCTGGGATATGACAGTCTGATCTATGCTTTTCTGTCTCTGGATCTGTTTTTGTTAATTAATTTATGTTGTTCATTATATTCCATAAATGAGTGAGATCATGTGATATTTGTCTCTCTCTAACTGGCTTACTTCACTTAGCATAATGCTCTCCAGATCCATCCATGCTGCTGCAAATGGTAAGAATTCCTTCTTTTTTACCGCAGCATAGTATTCCATTGTGTAGATGTACCACAGTTTTTTAATCCACTCATCTACTGATGGGCACTTAGGCTGTTTCCAAATCTTAGCTATGCTGAATTGTGCTGCTATGAACATAGGGGTACATATATCCTTTCTGATTAGTGTTTCTAGTTTCTTGGGATATATTCCTAGAAGTGGGATCACTGGGTCAAATGGGAGTTCCATTTTTAGTATTTTGAGGAAACTCCATACTGTTCTCCACAGTGGCTGGACCAGTCTGCATTCCCACCAGCAGTGCACGAGGGTTCCCCTTTTTCCACATCCTCGCCAGCACTTATCATTTGTTGATTGTTGATGATAGCCATTCTGACAGGAGAGAGATGGTACAACTGCATTGTTGTTTTGATTTGCATCTCTCAGATGATTAGTGACTTTAAGCATGTTTTCATATGTCTCTTGGCCTTCCTTCTGTCTTTTTTGAAAAGTTTCTATTTAGGTGTGTTGCCCATTTTTTGATTGGGTTGTTTATCTTCCTTTTGTTTAGTTGTATGAGTTCCCTGTAAATGTTGAAGATTAAACCCTTATCAGTGATAACATTGGAAAATATGTTCTCCCATGCAGTGGGTTTTCTTGTTGTTTTGTTGATGGTTTCTTTTGCTGTGCAGAAACTTTTTATTTTGATATAGTCCCATTTGTTTATTTTCTCTTTAGTTTCCATTGCCCTAGGAGCAGTATCAGTGAAGAAATTGCTTTGGCATATGTCTGTTATTTTGCTGCTTGTAGAATCCTCTAGTATTTTAATGGTTTCTCATATTAAGTTGAGCCTAAGGGAGCTATGAGACCACATGAAATAAAGCAACATATGAATAATAGGGGTCAAGAACAACAGGAAAAGGAACAAGGGTTAGAAAACCTATTTGAAGAAATGTTGTCTGAAAAATTCCCTGATGTGGGGAAGAAAAAAGTCACACAAGCACAGAGAGTCCCAAATAAGATGAACCCAAAAAGACCCACACCAAGACACATCATAATTATGATGGCAAATGTTCAGGACCAAGACAGAATCTTAAAGGCTGCAAGAGAGAGACAGAAAGTTACATACAAGGGATCTCCCATTAGATTATCAAATGACTTCTCAACAGAAACACATCAGGCCAGAAAAGAATGGAAGGAAATTTACAAAGTGATGCAAAGCAAAGGAATGAATGCAAGAATACTCTATCCAGCAAGGCTATCATTCAAAATTGAAGGGGAAATAAGGAGCTTCACAGACAAAAAATGGCTAATGGAGTTTATCACTACCGAACCAGCAATGCATGAAATGCTAAAGGAACTGGTGTAAGAAGAAAAAATATAAATGTAAGAAAAAACACAGGCACAAAAAATAAAAATGGCTACAAACAAGTACTTTTCAATAATAACTTTAAATGAAAATGGACTAAATGCTCCAATCAAAAGACATCGAGTGGCTGAATGGATAAAAAAAACACGACCCATATATATGCTATCTACCTCAGAACAAGGGACTCACACATACTGAAAGTGAAGGGATGGAAAAATATCTTTCAGGCAAATGGAAATGAAAAAAAAGCTGGGGTAGCAATACTTATATCTTAAAAAATTGACCTCAAAATGAAGGCCATAACAAGAGATAAGGAAGGCCACTTCATAATACTAAAGGGATTGATAGAACAAGAGGATATAACCCTGATAAACATATATGCACCCAATGCAGGAGCACCCAAAAACATTAAAAAAAACTCCTGGAAGATATCAAGGGAAATATTGACAACAATACAATCATAGTAGTGGACTTTAATACACCAGTGACATCACTGGATAAATCCTCTAGATAAAAAATCAGCAAAGAAACAGCAATCCTAAATGATTCACTAGATCAGATGGACTTAACTGACATCTTCAGAAAATTTCACCCCAAAGCCATGGAATATACGTTCTTCTCAAGTGCACATGCAACATTTTCAAAAATAGACCACATATTGTGTCATTAGCGAAGTGTCCCCAAATTCAAGAAGATTGAAATCATATCAAGCATCTTTTCAGACCACAATGGCATAATATTAGAAATAAACTACAATAAAAACAATCCAAAAAATGCAAACACTTGGAAAATAAATGGCATGCTATTAAACAATGATTGGGTCACCAAAGAGATCGAAGAAGACACTAAAAACATCCAGGAAACTAATGACAACAAAAAACACAACAATCCAAAATCTATGGGACACAATGAAAGCAGTCCTGAGGAGGGGGTTTATAGCTCTACAGACCTACCTAAAAAAGAAAAAAAGAAAAAAATGGCAGTAAATTATCTAACTCTACAACTCAAAGAATTAGAAAGAGAGCAACAAGAAAAGCCCAGAGTGAGCAGAAGAAAGAGGATAGTAAAGATCAGAGCAGAAATGAATGACATAGAGACCAAAAAAAAAAAAAAATACAAAATGTCAATGAAAACAAGAGCTGGTTCTTTGAAAGGATAAACAAGATTGATGAACCTCTAGCCAGGCTCACCAAGAAACAAAGAGAGAGGACCCAAACAAGCAAAATCAGAAATTAAAGAGG